GCGAAATGGCCGTCCGATCTCTTACCACTGCTCTCTCCCTCCCATTCGTCTTCGACTTCACCCCTCTAACTTCCAGCGATGCCGTCCAAAACCTTCGATCCACCGATGCTTCCCTTTTCGAGCTTCTGGAACTCTTTTCTACCGACGATCTCGATGCTTATGAGGATTTCGTTAAAGAGAACCCCATCTCCTCTATTTCTGCCCTGGCTTCGGTCAAGACCATCTCCCCCGCCACAACTACATCCTCTGCTTCAAGCGAACCACCATCAGTGGAAACTATCCTACAGACCAAAATGCGTCTGCTCACCCTTGCCAGTCTTGCTGCAAAGGCTCCCTCTCGCTCTCTGCCCTACAACGACATTGCTGCTGCTCTCCGCATCGAGCGAGAGGATGTAGAGAAGTGGGTTATCGATACCATCCGCGCCGGTCTTGTTGAGGGAAAACTCTCCCAACTCAAAGGTGAATTCCTTGTTCACCGTGCTACGTACCGTGTCTTCGGCGAGCGACAGTGGGGTGAAGTCCAAGGTCGTCTCATGGTATGGAAGCAGAGTCTGTTGAACGTCCTCGAAGTCATCCGCTCCGAAAAGGAGAAGTTCAAGGAAGCTGCCTCTGCTGCAGCTGCTCCCGCCCAGGGATCCGCTGAAGCTGATCGATTCTCATTTGGAGGAGGAAGAGGAGGCGGCGAGCGAAGGAGAGGTGGCCACCAATCACATCAACATCAAGCTAGGGATATGGAGTTGGTTGCCGGTGGTGACTAAAGCGCTCCTTTTCCCTTTCTACCTTCCCCCTTTTGTTTACTTTCCTACAAAGATTTGAATGTACTGGGCGTTTTTCGTGCTTGCTTTTAATCACTTCTTCTTCCCTTCCCGCAGTTTTCTAACCAAATCACTTCACCCGTGGTTTGATCTTCCCTTGACTTCTATGCTTCTTTTTTGCTTTCATCCCCCGTGATCGTGGAAAGGAATTTAATAGATCAAGCTCGCTGTTTTTATAATGTTGAGCATGAGCATGAGCACAAATGAGTATGAGAAATGAGGATGGGAAAAATATAAAAGAAGAATCAGTCAATTTTGGATTGTAGTCAACCTCTAATATAGGTCGACCAAGCTATCAAATCTCTATCTAGATCAAGATCACTATCACTGATAGATTAGTAAGCAATTAGGGCTAAACCCTGAGTTTTTTATATTACATAATAATTCAATATCACATGATTCACTAAACCGTTTCAGGTGTAGTCTCGCTAATCGCTGCTCTGCGAGATCGCCAAAAATTCGATGTTGCCAAAAAGCGCACAGAAGAAAGAGACCTCCATCGCAGCGCCTTGAACTCACGCCGTTTCAACCTACACGGAATCACCAACTCACCGTCAAGATGACCCACGAATCCGTCTTCTACAGCCGCCCACGAAACTACGGCAAGGGCAGCCGTCAATGGTACGCTCCTAAAACCCATGCATCGCGATATCGAACTGCCAGGATACATGTTTGGATGGAAGTTGGTTGGATATAGAATATATTGCTAATGGGGACTCCTTTTCTGTCTGCAGCCGCGCTTGCGCTCATCAGGCTGGTATCATCCGCAAATACGGCCTCATGATCTGCCGTCAGTGCTTCCGTGAGAAGTCCAAGGATATCGGTTTCATCAAGGTACGACATATCAATCACTCGCGGCAAAGTCATGAACAAAACACTCATGTTCTCCAATAGTACCGGTAAACGACTCGACCAAGATGATTTGTCTCGTTCCTGCCACCTTCGCTCTGTTCGGTTTCTAAAATACATAATTCGACATTCCTGATCTACCTTACTTCGAAATCGGATTGCGCGCCACCCACGCAAACCAAACTTCATGGCTTACAGGACGAATGGAATGGGGTGGTTGGTTCGAGTTGAGGGGAGATGAAATGGGGATGGACAGACGTTGGACGTGTATGGGCACGGGCGTGCGAAGAGAACTTCAATCGGAAACCATCTGATGCATATCCTCGTTCTCCATGGCCCTTTTTTTTTAACGCATATCATACCAATCAAAATATGGATACTTGCGGAGTTTCTTCTTTAGATGGGTGGTTTCAATCAGACCTATTCTTATGGATGTTGGCTTATTTGTTTGTGGTGGACGTAGCATGGGTGTTGGGCCATATATGGGCATCTCAATCTTCTGGGGTTTAAGAGATGACGTCTGGCACCCTGGAGGGGTTTGACATTCCCTCGTAAACTCTATGACCGGTCCGGTGTAAACAATCTGTATATCCAATGGAAGGTACATGCCGCTTGATTTGATGATTATGTCTATTAAAAGGAGTATTTATGTCTAGAATAAAAATGAGGGGAGAAAATCCACACCGCCCGCTTTGCTAAACGACAAATTTTTGGGTTTCTTTTCCATGTTCTCATTAGTTACCCTTTGGCTGCACGATGCCACGGCTCTCTATCTCCTTGTGAATGCGAGCAGTAACCTCAGTCTCGGTACCAACTGCAGAAACACTCATGACCTTGCCCATCTTCTCGTAATAGTTGACAACAGGCATGCTGGTCTCCTCAAAGACACGGAATCGCTTCTTGATTGACTCGATATTATCATCGTCACGGCCGCTGGTCTCTCCGCGCTTCAGTAGACGGTCCAACATCACGTCTTCCGGGCAGGATAGGAAGAGAGTTCCTGCAGAGGGACACACGGTTTCCTCGAAATATATAGCTTGATCCATTTTGCGTGGGAATCCGTCAATGAGAAACCGTGATGTCTGTTCTCCGCTGTTCTCGTCTTTCTTTTTCTTCTCCTCGAGGATGGCAGCCATGGCGTTGGAAAGGAGGGTAACAGTGATTTCCATTGGCACGATGATTCCTTCGCGAATGTTATGTCGAATCAAATCACCGTACTGACTTCCTTCACGGTCCTGCTCGGCCCTAAGCAAATCACCCGCGGAGAGATGGGAAAAACCATAGTCCTTGACGAGTTTGGCAGATTGCGTTCCTTTCCCACTACCCGGGCCTCCAAGCACAAAGATAACGGTCACTTCATCGGTAGAGAAGCGAGGAGATGTGTTGGTCGATGTGAGAGGTGGCGTGAGTTCGGCCGATAGCTTGGCTTCAGCAGGAGTGCCAGACTTTGGCATCTCACTTGCCAGGTTTGACATCCTTGGGAGTGCGAGACTTGATCAGAAAAGCGTATACGCCGCTTCCAACTGCGAGGATAGCAAGTATGGGGAGAACCTTGATCTCTGAGTTATTTCGGTTGCGGTTTGGAGGAGGAGGAGGCGGGGCGGAGGAATATGCTCGAATGAAAGGAGATGATGCAGCTTCCTGGCCAACTGCAAGGCGGGGTGGTTGACTTCCGCTAGCCAGGCGAAGGACGTGACGGGCTGCCGCAGAGCCAGATCTAGACAGAAAAATGGAGCGCGAAAGGGGCATTCCTAGCCAGTGTAATCAATTGACTGGTCCAATACCAACTTCTGAGATCCGTACGCTTTGTATCCAACGACACTCTCCAGTTCTCTCTTTCTTCTGCTTCTCGTGGTTCAAATGTCGAAGATGAAGAAAAAAAGGCCAAGCTATCCTAATGCGGACTAGCGTTCTCTGTGGTTACATCAAGGTTTTAAGCATATTTGCTTATTCAACTTTAAATGCTGACTAAGCTACTTCTTTCGTGCGCTTGTCCATATACCTGGGGGAAGGGAGAACGACGGTGCGAGGCAAACCCCAGGTGGACCATAAAGGGTTCTCCAAACCATTTGTCCTTCCACCCGGAATGCCAATCGAAGCGCCCTTACTGGCTCTGCTTCTCCACGCTGAAGAAACTGAGTCTGTGGACATGTGCTCCTGGGGTATCCCCCGCTGAATTCATCTCAGAATTATCTTACCCCAAGGTATCGTGGCAGACGTCATGTGTCCGTCTGTCCATCGATCCCATATCGTAGGGAACACGGCAATTGGCAGGCGATATGTACACTACCCGCTTTCCTTTCCCGATTAAATTAAACGTTCCCGAAATACGGAGTGCTTCTAGATCCGTGTCCTCGTAAGCAGTCGCCCGATCTCGCTCCGGACCAGCGCTTGAACCCGCTCAAGGCCGAAAATTCTGGAGAAGCCTGTTTGGGTACCTGACCCCTGTCCTGGGTACTAGCTCTTAAATGCGTTCGGTGCGCGTCCCACGCCTCATCCTTCATGAGGAAGGCGATCAGGGGATTGGTTGGTTAGTGGACGCGAAGGACTTTAAATACAGGACCGCTCGCACCGCAATCCTTCTTCCTGGACTTTTTGACTGTTTGGTGCCCTTGAACTTGAAACCACTATGGAGAAACATGAGATAGAGGAGCCAAGCTCTATTGAGCACCTAGACGACCAAGTCAAGACCATATCTCCTAAGATAGAGCTTGAAGACCCAGATGCTCATTTGAGCCCTGAAGAAAGACAGAAGCTGGTAAGAGACGTGATGTCTATGTTACGACCCATATAGTATCTTTCGCTAAGAGAAGTCGATAGGACAGAGCACTTCTGTGGAAGCTCGACCTTAGATTAGTCCCTTGGCTTTCGTTGCTGTACCTTGTCAGGTTCGTCAAAAACAAAGCTTGATCATTCTCCAGGCACTTATTGATAACTCTTTAGCTTCCTAGACCGAACGAATGTCGGAAACGCAAAGCTCGAGGGTCTCTTGAAGGATCTTCGCCTCTCAGATGGCCAATATGCGGCAGCTTTGACCATATTCTTTGTTTCTTATTCCATTTTTGAACCATTGACCAATATCTTATTGAAAAGATTAAAACCTAGTCTTTTTATCCCAGTTATCATGGTTGTCTGGGTATGGTTGAGCTGACAAGGTCTCTTCTTTAATTGGCACTAACCATTATTGCTCCTAGGGTATTTGTATGACTACTATGGGCCTTACTAAGAACTTTTCAGGCTTCATGGCCGCGAGATGGTTCCTAGGATTCACCGAAGCGGGACTTTTCCCAGGTGTCGGCTACTTTTTATCCTGCTGGTACAAACGAACCGAATTTGGCATTCGAATGGCTATCTTTTTCTCTGCGGCAGCGGTAGCCGGCTCGTTTGGTGGCCTACTTGCTGCAGCAATTGCAAAAATGAATGGAGTTGGAGGCAAAGCAGGCTGGGCTTGGATCTTTATCTTGGAAGGCTTAGGTACAATCGTTATTGCTATAGCATCATTTTGGATGGTGCAAGACTTCCCGGACACTGCAACATTCTTATCTGAAGATGATCGGAAACGAGTCCTATTGCGTCTTGCAAAGGACCAGCAAGCCAGTGCTGGACATGAGGATTTCAAAATGGAATATTTCTGGGCTAGTATAAGAGATTGGAAAACTTACGTTTCTGCTTTCATATACGCTGGATGTGTTGGGCCACTCTATGCCTTTTCGCTCTTCCTCCCTACCATTATCAAGGAACTAGTAAGCTTTTCACCTCCCTTTACTATGTGTTTACCCGGCCATGGTATTAAGACACGCTGACCTTTTCTTAGGGTATATATCCTCAAAATCCAACGTTTTGTACAACTCCCGGCTAATCTTTTTAGGGTATACATCAACAACGGCACAATTACTCTCAGTTCCTCCATATGCTGCAGGGTGTCTTTTGACCATCTTAATCGGCCTATTCTCTGATCGTACAAAAATGCGTGGGTTATCCAATATCGGCGTATCACTCATTGGAATAGCTGGGTTCAGTATGCTTCTCGGAGCAAAGTCCCCAGGGGTAAGGTATGCTGGGACGTTTCTTGGGGCGATGGGTATCTATCCATGCATACCAAATACGATATCGTGGGCCAGTAACAATACTGAAGGTAAGTTTCCTTCCTATCCTGTTGTATCTATAACCTTACTTCTGACATTGATGTATAGGAGTATATAAGCGTGGTGTCAGTCTTGGTTTCATTATTGGCTGGGGAAACCTCAATGGTGTGATATCTTCCAACATCTATAGACATCAAGACGCCCCAAACTTCTTCCCTGGGCATGGTATCGTACTAGGGTACCTCATTGTGTTCCTTTTTGGTGGAAGTGTGTTACAGCATATACTCCTGAGAATTGAGAATGGGAAGAGGATTCGAGGGGAGCGAAATGCTTGGGTCGAAGGACTTGATGAGCATGGCATCGAGATGCTGGGCGACAAACGGCCAGATTTTGTATATACGCTCTAGAAACTTGGCCAATATAGTTAACCAGTCAATTAAGACACTCGCAAACAACAATAAATTCCTCTTATGCTTGAGACTATAGACACGCTATTAAATCGGCCTCTCTCGTTCTTTATAGATTACTGACGTTGAAGCAAGCACAACGTGAATGATGCTGGCATTTACCCCTGAGCAGGCCAGTAAGTGTGAACGTGGCAGCGAATAGATTAACTGGTCATATGCTATAGCAGTAAGTTTACATGCATGTAGTTGAAGAATGATCTGGCCAATTGTCAGTATATATATAGACGAAACAACAGTCAAACGACAATCGGGGGAGTTCCTACATTTTCGCCACACGATACAAACACTCCCGCACCCGTCGGCTACGCACAAATGATCAACGATACACTAGTTAAGTGAACGTGTTTATGTTTGAACTGGACTCGAGGACAAACGGAACGTCCATCCAATTACCGATTAATTACTGTCTAACGCTCCGCTGCATACAACCTTCTGGATCAGGGCCGATCACTCAAGGCCTTTTTACCATAGGCAAGTTAGGGAACTTCTATGTTAAATGACTATTTATGGCCTAAAGGCGCATCATATATATCATGATACAGGATCAAGAGACAAGTGCCCATGCGTTTACTCATGAAAGATATTGCACCTATACCATGCTCAAGGCAGCGCAGGTGAAATGGTCGCAGCATTCTAGTCTTACATCAGGCTTAGCCATGTGAATTGAATGAATGGGGCGAAAACGGACACTCCGTAACAATGCCATGCAGTTAATCATCACGAGTTACCTTCAGTCGGGTGTTTGGAACTTGTTTCCCCGCGCGTGCTGGCAACAATAATCCAGGAAGTGGTTGACTGCGGCCGACTGCAATTTTCGCTCTTAGATCACTAGCCTTACCCTTGAACGTTGGTTAGCAGACAGCATCCAACATTTATCAACGATACTTAGTTGGCCTCCCTTCGAGTTACAAGCGAACGTAATGGGTGATCATTCCTGGTCAGCGGGATTTGCTCTTATTACCCCGGAAGGGCTATGCCTTGTCAGCTTGTGTATTGATTAATTGGTGCGCATCCCAACCGTGGCTTGACAGGGAGACTTAGCAGATTGCTTTTATATTTCGAGGTCAAGTCCCGACACTCTGGAGAACGAGGATGCAGTCAGACAATCACATTCCAATTCACTCAATTAATTACGAGCAAGAACCTTGAAGAGAAGTTGCATGTACTTAAGTACATATGCAGGGAGGAAACGATGCATGCACGAAGACTTCTTCAGCAGTGCAGTGGCGGAGTGTCCCGCAATGCCTGTAATTGGGTCTTGTCTTCTTCATGCTGTGGTATATTTTTGGCTGAAGGAGAAACAGTACCTGCAAGATACTTCCATTCACACAGAATTTAGCTAAGTATAAAAGTATCTTAGAAGTATTTATAGAACTGGGGCCGTGCTCCACTATTTTTAGCGCCCTTAAATTAGGGTTATACTTTCAACCAATGATAATCGAGCGGGGCGATCCTAAATGCAAAATATGACATGCTGATTGGCTGGGTAGATCCCGTCGGTCTAGCCGCACTGGTCTTAGCGTGTGACGGAATTTGCATCCATCACGGCGAGAATCACCTGCGCTGCTGGCCCATCACATCGACCACAGCACATCTGCATCCTCCCTGCATCACACCAGCCATCCCAGCAGTCGACTCTCGCTTGTCATTCGACCGCCACCCCGGTCTCTCAATCAGGATGGGCCCTGTAACCGCTGGGCGGCCGCCCAGGGCCGCTCGCAACGGACCAAACAAAACGCATTCTTCGTTATAACCGACTGTTGGACGGACCACGGCCTCACCACTCCTCGCTCTTCTTCGCACCACCCAGTCAAGGGATCCCTGGACCATCACGGCCACAGCTTGCATTTCCGTTTTCTCTTTGTCATGCCTGGCCAATTCTGCAAATCAACAAGGGTGACTTTGCTCCCCTTCCATGCCCAGATCGACATTGTATTCTATATTTCGTACAGAGAGATAGGCCATCTCTCCAGTGCTGCTCGGCCGCAACCCCCAAGCTTGGAGTCCACAATAATTAGGTTCACGCCTCGACTCCCTGGCATAAACATACCCGTTGCTCGAGTGCGGGCGGTTAACGTGGAGAGCCTACTGGCTGCTTGAAATAGCCCAGACTGCCCACCCTCCCAGGGTTCCTGGCTGCGATGGGCGCTAAGGATACAATATCTCACTCTCATCAGCTTTTCTCTTCCATCTTCTCTTTCTCCTTCACGATTCTCTCTTGTGTGCTTCTTGCTCTTTCACCTAACTACACTGATCCTACGGCTGCGACTGGTTTCGTGCCTACTTGAGAGCAACTCCCCCTAAGCGCCATCTCTTTCATCTTTGCCAAAGACTGCATCGACCAGGACACACTGACATCCCCTTTTGAAAGGTTCACATTTGTTCTGTACGTCGATCTATGCAGGCCGTCATGTCTTCCTTTGTCTTTGGCTCTTCTAACATGGCGAATGCGTAGGCCCGTCCTGTACGACACCAGATTATCAGCTCTCCTTCGGGCTGTTTCTGCTGAATAGGAAACCCTCCTGTTAAGCGGCCGACACTCGTCTCTTCTCCCTTCTTTACATATCTCTGGGATGTCTAGATTACATCCTAACGATCATACCGAGGGATCAGAATATTCGTTCTCTCAAGATCCAGTTACTCCTGTCGACGTAGTACAGCCAACTCGCAAGCAAATGGTTGGATTCGCTGCGCAGCCGACAACAATGGAGAACTCAACCCGCGACCCTCCTTCCGAGTCTCCCTTTGCCGACCCTCCAGCCAAACCAGGTTCTTCGGACTCAAACAAGCAGCCTAATGTATCCGATGTAGGGTTTGGCTATGTATCTGATAACCGGCCTGATAGAGATGCACCCGGTTCCTCAGCCAATGCACCAAATTCACCGCTCAAGAGTGCCATGAAAGTGCCCGGCACTCCTGGTCGGTTTGGAAATGCGAACCCGCTGAGCCCAATTTTTAGAGAGGAGCAGATTCTCGAGATTCATGAAAAGGATGCAGAGGAAGAGAACGCAAAGGATTTGGTATGCTCTCTCCTATCGACCTCTTAATTGAACATATTCTAATGTGCTTTATAGAAAATTAAAACACGAGTCCGCCTCTCGAAGATCTTGCTGCGTGGTGTCAATTTCTCCTGCAGTTTGATTGTCTTAGCACTGCTTGCTCAGTCGTTCCTTATCTTCCGCGCAACCAGACATCTAGAGAGCAGAAACGGACTTACACCCTGGGACCCAAATACCAACCCTTGGCCACAAATCCTCATTCTAGTTTTGACCTCCATCAACATGTTCCTGTCCATCGTCGTGCTTTGGAATAATTGCCGTGGAAAAGAGCGTCGTGCAGAGAAAGTAAACGTATACTACACTCTTTTTGCCGGCGGGTTCTTCGTCTTTACAGTCATAATGTGGGTTATAGCTGCTGGTATTCTACAAAACAGCAAGGACAGCGGTAATGGTAAAGACCTTTGGGGATGGTCTTGTAAGGACAATCAACGAGCCACTTTGTTCAAAGAATTGGTCGACTATGCTCTCGTTTGCCGCATGCAGGTATGCAATACCCGCCGTCCCACTACTCACCACAGCTGAATTGATATATTAACATTTGATTTTAGGATTGGACTCTTGTTTGCATTATCATTGAAATCGTCGTTGATACCATCACGATTGCTATCTATGCTGTTGTCTTCTATCGCTTCTACTCCAAGCGCAAGCTACGCAAGTCAATGAACGTCCGTGACAAGGCCAGATCTGACCTGTATCTCGCCAATCTCCGTGTGCAAACTGCCCCAAATACCCCTGGGTTTGCCCGAAGCCCAGCAATGAAACAAAACCCGTATTCGGCTGCTGAGAATGGACAAGCCAACGAATATTACCAGCCCCAATATGCCACTCCAGTCAACACCACAACTAACAAGCCGTTCCAACTCCAGCCTCCTCCTTCTAGATCATCCAATAGTATCCACAACGCACCTAGGGCTGAGACACAAAGTCCTGCTCTCGAGCCTGGCAGTACTGAACGGGTCAACCACCATGTTGCTGTTGCTCCTGGGGAACAATCATATGGTGCCGTGCCAATTCCCGAACCCTACAGAAGCCCCAGCTTTGCTCCTCAGGGAATGACACTACCGAATACTCCTGGTATTGGCGTAGCGGTTTTGTCTGACAACGCTTCTCACGTCCGCAACTCGTCAAGGTGACCCAGTTATATATCACAGGCAGCAGCCTGAAAACCGTCTGTTCTTGTACTTATCATCTGTTATCCCTTTCATTGCTCTTATTTTTGTTTATGCATGACTCCTAGCCTTTAATCCTCTCTCAACGCTCTCTAATGTCTGTGCTTGTTTTTGCTTGCCATCAATCTCCCAACTACCTAAATTCTCTTTGTCTTTGAAATACCCCTTGGGCCCTTCCAAGAAAATCAGGGCTGTGCGATCTACTACTATCTTGTTTCTCTTATTTCTGATATTTTGGAGTCGAATAATTTTTGTTACCTTTTGGGCAGATCATGTCCTATAACGAGGCATGTGAAGGAGTGAAAGGGGGAAAGAGTGGATACATATGACGCCCTATGTGCACGCTCTGCGAAGATTATGTTGACTGTCTTTGAATCTGGGCCTGATATTGACTATCAGCTGAAGTCCTTGTGGTTAAGTTTATTTAGCTATCTACCTTAGTTATATCGAAGAAAGCTTGATCACGGACTCGTTTTAGATTCTCCTTTTCAATATAAAAAAAATAAAAAAAAATAAGGCTTGAAACCAAGAATGATAGAAAGCGTCAGAATCGTACCATGGACCTTTGATGAATGCCATTAATCAAATTGCCACTGTTAATTTGTGTCATGCCAAGTAAAATAAGAACACTGCATGATGCCCCTTGATAGCAACAAAACTCCCGATGGAAAGGAAGACGCGATCATCTCATGTAGGCCGAAAATATATATAT